ATGGATTTAGCAAATCGCAAATTTCTGAGCTTGTGCGAAAACGGCCTGATATTCTTTTATCTAACCCTGAGAAAACCCTTTTGCCCAAGATTGATTTTTTCTTGCAGTCGACTGGAGTTACGAAGGCCGACATTCTCAGAACCATATCTAGAGATCCTGGGTTCTTGAGAAGAAGTGTGGAGAACCAACTAATGCCCATTTGTAATTACCTCAAGGATATACTGGGAACTGAAAAGGTTGACAATCTTTTGAGGCGCGGTTCATGGATTTTTTATCGAGCAATTGGGAAGACACTTATCTTGAATGTAGACTACTTGCTGTCACTTGGAGTTCCCAATTCGTTTATTGCGACAGTATTGTCTAGTTTTCCACAAGTCCTAGCACAAAATCATGACCAGTTCAGAAAAAATGTTGCAGAGGTGAAGGAAATGGGATTTGATCCATTGAAGGTGAAGTTTGTATTAGCATTATATGCCCGTTCAGTGGGTAAAAAGGCTTTATGGGCAAATTGCTGTGAAACTTATAGGAAATGGGGTTGGTCGAAGGATGATGTTTACATGCCCTTTAAAAAACAACCACTTTGTATGCTTTTATCCAAAAAGAAAATATCTGGAGTTTTGAGTTTCCTAGTAACTGAGATGGGGTATGAGTCAAGAATGATTGCGCAAAATCCACATTCTCTCTGTTTCAGTTTGGAGAAGAGGATTATCCCTAGGTGTTCCGTTGTTCGCCTTTTGTCCTTGAATGGTTTAGTTAGGAAAGATAAGAGCTTGAATACTATAGTGTGCCCCTCCGAGAAATATTTCTTGGACACGTTTGTCACAAAATATGCACTTGAAGTACCTCAACTTTATGACATTTATAAAAGGAAAGCAAGTGTTCCAGAAGCGTAACTTCAATTTGTTGGGATTTCTGAGTTTAGAGGTTTCATTTCTAACTCATTGCTATTATCATTTATTGCGTCGTAGCTGCGTGCTATATTGGCTGTGTAACTGACCTCTTCATTTAGTAATTCATGTGCTAAGAGATGGTTTTTAGTAGTGTCTCCTACAAGATCCATGTAATTTGTTTCTTGTTAATTCTTTTTTAACTTCTAAAATGAGTAGAGTTTCTTGTCTCCTAAAAGGTCAAAGGATTGACAAGTTGTTCAGGTATGCATATCCTTTATCCTCGATAATTTGGATAATATTAATATCTTGATAGTTATCCAGGATTGCTAAACCTCTATCAAATTGCTATGGTTATACACTAACCATTTCTATCAAAAATTTGACAATCCAAACCTTTTCTTTTCTAGCTTCCTAACTTTAATCTTTACCAGGGCAAACTGTTAAAATGAAAATGTTAAGTATGAAAAATAACCTTGCATAAATTTTTTTATTTCTGTTAACAAAGACTCGGTAGGTTCTTAGATGGACTTTCCTGGCCAAGTGGCCATACACTTTGCCATTTGGAGAACTAATTCCAGCATGCTCTGTCATTTATATATTTTCTTTGAATGGTTTGATGAAGAAAAATGCGTGATCCTGAGAAGTAATTGGACAAGCATGCAATTGTTTAAGGCCAAAGTACCTGAACTGTATGGTGTATTTGAGAAGTTGGAGTTATGATGACGATAAAACTGATCATATTCAAGGTGCTCAAAATTCATAAGTTCAATTCTCATCACTTTGATTCTACCAGTGATTTACCTAGAGTTCTATGTAGTTAGTTGCCCTTTCATAATGTTGCTTCTGTTTATGATGAGGGAATGCTTTACTTTTGTAAATACTTAAGAAATTTTACAGCAGTTGTCACCCCGATTTTTCTTTTTTGGCACCACACTCAACTTGGCCCACCATGCCTCGCTATGCAGTGCCATCCAATGAAACTCATATTATTGATTTCAGTAGTAGTTTGCTTGGAAATACTCTATCTGAGATACTTTTTTGATAAAGATTGCTTTTTAGATATGTTCTGTACTTGATACCATAAAATGTTTTTCTGTGTTCTGCGGTTAAGGTTGCATCTGAAATTTTGGCTGGGTCCCTAGAATTTGGCTGATTTGAGAGAATGTGCTGAAATTTTGGTGTTGATACTATTTATACTTGTATAAGCCCCTGTTTGAGCCACATTAAAAACGTTTTCAACCACACATTTTGCTCGGCCCATATTCATCCTGTTCTTAAATATCTTGGAAAATCTCAGAAGTAATTATACATCAGCCAGTAGGGGATGCAGGAAACTTGGTAATACAGTTATCTAGTGTTAGAAGTATATTGCTTCTATGGTATTGTCGCCATCCTTTTTCTGCATGTATGGTTGTCAAAAAATGCTGTGCGTAAGGATTGTGTATGTTTCCTCTGTCTAGGTGTATGTAAGATGTATGAATTATTATGGAATTTTGCCTGGAAGTTAGCTCTACGTAGGTGCATACAAGTTATTGGAAAATTGGAAGTGAATGATGAATCAATCGTACATAGCAATTTCCACAAAGAGGGAGTGCTGGTGAATTCTGGTGGGAGGAGGAAGACGGGCAGTGGGTGGTTGGAGATAGAGCCGAGGAAGGGTTATACAAAGCGCGGCTTGGGTATAGCCTGATTCTATCTTGTGTCCTTTGAATCCTTATTTTGCTCAAAATACACTATCAGCAGATCAGAAGAATGCTGATCTATGTCAAGGAATGTGATTACAGGACTTCCCATTGGCAAGTTTTTGGCCATGCAAGTGGACGGCTTTGAAACTATTGCAAGTGTGATGCAGATATTCGACAATCCAAGAAGTTGTAGGGTGCAGTCACTCGCGTAAGCTGGTCCACGGGTTTTTATCGAAAAAAAAGAAAACTTGAGAAAAAAAAAAAGTGAAAGCTTGTATGGTCGGCGCAGTCCTATTGACACATCTTTGGTGCTGGTAGATGAAATAGTTCTTGCAGACTACCATGACACTGCTCTTACCAATGGAGGACACCTTGGGACATCATCTGTTGAATGATTTGGGATTTGGTTCTCTCAATTGGAATAGTTTTCTTTCTATGCAACTCTATCAAAATTGATCTTATATATGGATATGTTCGAGACATGAGAGATCTATTGTCCATTGATGTGTAACTGTAGCTACAGTTTTTTTTTTATAAATAATTGTGGGTGCTTGGGCCAGTTTGCTCACGCTCGACTAATCCCACGAGGCTCTGAGGTTTACGGTCGGGTACTCACCTCAGTGGCCATGAAGGGACTCGAACTGGTGACCATTGGGGAACAAATTCAAGGCCTAATCAATGAGCAACCATTCAAGGTTAATAACTACAGTTTTTAAGGCTAGTATGGACTCATTTGTACCAAAGAAGTTGGCTGAGCAAGAGAGAGGGTCGAGTAAATATTTAGAACGTATTGTGATATTTTTTGTGAGTTTTATATAAAAATTATAATTTTTCTGTTACATCTCTTCTAATTTTTTTTCCATTTTTCTGTTATAGAAGTAGAAAATTCTTTGAAATGGACTGAAAAAAGTCATGAGATAAACAAGAAATATGATTACTCAAGCAACTAACCCACCCTCTGGACAATTGCATTGACAAAATTGACCTTCATTTGAGTGGTCATGCTTGTGGAGTTGAAATTATGCCCACATGTACACGAGGACATTTCAGTCAGACCACAAAGGAATTTGGTCCAAGTCTTCCTTTCCGGCCAACCTTCATCCAAACAGTGACCCTTTTCAATTTTATATTTTTCATCATTAAATAAGAAACATCAAAACAGTGGACCATTTAGATTTTAATATTTGGCATAAGATAACAGTAAAATTTATGATATTGTTTAATCTTATAATATAACGTAATAATAAAGAATAAAAACCATATAGAAAACAGGTTACAAAATTAGCAATTATTTTAAGTAATTTACATTAGTCACAATTAAATTTTTTATTATATCTAAATTTAGTGAACTATAAAAATTAACTTTATCTACTCCCCGCGTCCGACTCCCATATTACATTTGCATTCGTTTCATTTTTTATCCCGATAGCTATTAGTAACCGACTTACTTTATATACTAAACTCTTGTTCGGTAGAGATTAAAATCAAAATTTTAGTAGATTTTAATAAAAGTTGATGAAATGTATGGTTGAAAAGTCGTGAATTTCATAAACTGTGTAGTTAAAATTAATGATTAATTTTGCCTTGAAATTTTAATTGAGTTTTAATCCAAACCAAACATGTGCTAAACATTTTGTAAGCATTTGTAATTATAAGTAAAAAGCTGTCAAATTGATTAACTTAAAAGAACATTTTCATCTATATTTTATTATTTTATAGCCTTTGTAATTAACCCTCCTGTTTGGCATAACGAGATGAATAATATTTTTTTTAGAGAATATGTTATTAAAAAAAAGATTTTTCTTTGAATTTACGTGTAAAATTATTTTATTGAAGAATGTTTTGTTGATAAGAGGAGAAAAAACTGAATTATAATTTAATGAAAAATAATAGGAGCCAAACGGGGGGCTAAAGAGATGGAAAAAAATAAGTTCTTTCTATTTTTAAGAAAATAAAAATTAGTAATCCATTAAATTAAAATAACATTTTAAAAAAAAAGAAGCTGCCGATGGACACCAATACCAGGAATCTCTCTCATTTTCCTCTTTATCTTTATACTTTTCTCTGCTCATGGTTTTTAGATCGTAATATGATCTAACTTCTTCAGTATACAATCAATGATTGTAACACTGAATTCTCAAATTCACACAATTCTAAATTAATTTATATGTTTATGCATTTACATATATTCATATTCAAATAACTAAAAAAAGTTTAGGTGAAGGAATTGAAGTATATGCCCGATCTGGAGAAAATGTTGTGGGTATTTCTGGTTTTCAATATTCTCAATTGGGTTGTTGAGATTTTAGGAGAAAAGTAACCGGTGACTTGAGAGAGTGAAAAAAAATAATAATAATAAATAAATAAAATCTTACCTTTATTGGGAGTTTTGATATTGTATTAGTTTTTACCTTAAATATTTTTGATGATTTCTGTGGTTAGTGGAGATGGGAGAAAGGGGCTAGGGTTAGGTCAAGATGAGGAAGAAGCTGAGCTTGAAGAAGGAGAGGCTTATTGTAATCCTAGTGAGATTGAGAATGAGGATTCAACCATTGACCCTGATATTGCTCTGTCCTACATTGTAAGTTTTTCTATTTCACTCTATTATGTATTCACTTATCTTTGTGTACGAGTACTTTAGTTTTAAAAGCTTATGTATGGAATCTTGGGTTGAATTGCTGTTATATAGAGTATATCACGATGACTTGGCTTCTATATTTGCTTTGTCTTGTTTTGATCAATTTGTCTAATTGGATTAATTAATTTTTTGATTAGTTAAACTCCATCGATGCTCTTTTAGTAACTTGGTGTGGCAGATAGTTGTTTGACAAGATCAGGTTAATAAAAGGAATTATACATTTATGCTTTGCATAATATAGGTCACATTATCTGCGTATGTGGAGTAATTCAATGCTCATTCCATACGTAGTTAAAAAAGGTAAAGAAATCTTGTTTATGGATCTTTCGAGATTTCTGTTATACAATGAATTTCTGAACTTTAGAAGTGGTACAGACTAGGATAAAGATAATTAACTTGTATGCCATAGGGCTGCGAAGTTTAATTTCTGTTAGCTATCATCTTATTTTGATTAATTTGTACTGTCTTGAAGGAGGAAAAACTCCAAAACATTTTGGGGCATTTTCAAAAAGATTTTGAAGGTGGAGTTTCAGCTGAAAATTTGGGTAAGTTAAAACTAAGCACAAGATATAATGAAAAATTAGAACCACATTAATGTGGTTTCATTGCATGAAGTGTTGATTGGGATTTGAATGCTAAACAGGAGCAAAATTCGGCGGCTATGGTTCATTTTTACCTACCTATCAAAGGTCTCCATCTCGATCTTATCCAAGGAATTCACAAGAAGTACATAACAATGATGCTTCGAAGTCCCCTAAAAAGTTGCATTTAGAGGTAGATGCTTCTAGATCTAAATCTATATACTTAGTGTTAACAATCTTTTGCTTGAAGAAGGAACTAGTATGTTTATTGGTTTTTATAATATTTGTGGTTACTTGAAAACTTTGTGTGTTGTAATACAGGATGGAAGACAAAACTCATTAGCTTCATCAAGTGTGTCTCTGTCAGCAAGGCCTCAAGCAGCCCTGGGGAAAACAGCATCATTCTGCAATTCGCTGGAAGGTGATGTCATACATGCCAAAGAATCGACTTTGAATTGCAGACCTGTTAAGAGTTCTGCCAATCCTTCTGGCAAGAGAACTCTGAAAGTTAGAATCAAAGTTGGCTCTGAAAACTTGTCCACACAAAAGAATGCTGAAATCTACAGCGGACTTGGTCTTGATATCTCCCCATCGTCTTCTTTGGATGACAGTCCCACAAGTAGTGACGGGTTATGCGGAAACACTCAGGATGTACCAGATAAATATCCTACTAGTATTCTTCAGGTGAATCACTTTACTTCATTCTTGATCTTGACTTCTGAGCTTTTTTATTGTAACGGCTAGGTTTTCTGACTTTGCGTAATTGCTGCACTGGAGCAGATGATGACATCATTACCCGTGGACCTACTTTTATCCCCTCTATCTGAGGATCTGATTCACCTCTCTAGGAAAGGAAAGTTTAGGGGAAAGAGTGAGCATATACCTGTGGACAAGGCAAGCTTAAATAGTTCTGGGATGTCAGTTGATAGATCTCATTTCAGTAGGAGTAATCAGAAAGTTTTAGAGCGCAAGAAATGGAACTCAGCTGAAAAGGATGATGCTTTTTTGATGGAATTAACGAGTAAGAAGAACAATGGTGGTCTGGACAATATCCGCTTTCTGTTGAAGAAGGAAACTGATATTGACATGTTCAGCTGTGAGAAACTTGTTGCCGATGCTTTGAAGCTCCCATTGCTGTCAAATTTAGAACATAGCATAGCGGATCCTACAAAATGTACTTCTAGCGAAGCAGTTGATATTCCTGTGACTTCTATTCATGATAAGGTGAAAGAAGAAACCTTTTCTGAAGTTACAGTGAAGGGACTTCTTGAGAGTTCGTCTGCCCAAGATATAGGCAGGGTCGAGAAGTTGGATGGGAGGCTGGGTTCATCTGGCAAGGTTTTGCAAAATAAAAAAAATGTACCTGAAACAGAAAAGGCTTATTTTTCAGCCCGTTCTGAGTCAAATGACTGTGAGGGGAGAAACTCTTTTACTGGTGAAGCTGCTGGCCCTACAGAACATTTAGTAGTTGAGAAAGGAAAATCCGGCTGTGAGGAAGGCATAAAACAATCTCTTAAGAAGATGTCTTCAGGGAGCAAAAAGAAATCTAAAGGAATTCACAGTCAGGGTGCTAAAGGATCTGAAGTATCAAAAGATCAGTCTATGATTGTTTCTTCTATACTGCTTAAAAGTGGGCAGAGCTCTCATGCTAATAGTCTGATTTATAAAAATGGTCAACTCAATCTTCAAAAGGACCAGGGAAAGCCTGGAGACAGATATATAAATTTCTTTGGAGACTTGGAATTTGAAGAAGAAGATAAAGACTCAGTTTCAGGGGAAATGACTTTGGCAAGAAAGATGAAAGATTCTCAGCTAATTGAAAAAGGTATTGTTGAACGTAGCATGACAAAAGAGAAACGCGACGATAAAAAAGCCAACAAGCCATCTTCTGGAGAGGAATATCCTAGGGGAGCTTCTAGTGTGGCACCTCCATCTGGAAATGGACCCATTTCAGATGCTTCGGCAACAACAGTGGTTCCTCTAGTCAATGAAGATTGGGTCTCTTGTGATAAATGTCAAAAATGGAGACTTCTTCCACTTGGTATAAATCCTAAGAGCCTTCCTGATAAATGGCTCTGTAGGATGTTGACCTGGCTGTAAGTTCTATCAATCTTATATTTCTATCATCTTATATAATGACATTTGGTTATATGACAACTGGTTTTGGCCGAGGGAAAAGAATAATGTAGTTTGCATCTAAAGTTACCTCTATAATCATTAAACTGACAAGTGAATAAATTATCAATCTAGAAATGCCATCCAATAAGGCAGCCCAAAATATTGTACTACCATTAAAATACCCAGAGTTTTTGAACTGCATGCACACGTGTATGTGAGAGTACTTCTGTCCTGATGATCTACTGTTGTAAAATTTCCATAGGCCTGGAATGAACAGCTGTAGTATCCCAGAGGATGTGACAACTAGTGCTTTAAGTGCCCTCTACCATCCAGTTCCTGCTTCAGCTCCTCTCTCTGCCCCAGAGAGTCAACCCAATCAGCTTAATTATCCTCCTGGGATTTCGTCAGGACAGTCCTCAATTTATGCTAGTTCTCCTGGTCAAAATATCCAGAATATAGTTTCTCAAGCTACAATTATCAGCCGGAAGAAAAACCGTGGGTTAGCAGATGCCACATGTTCAAATGATCTGGACGCTCACAATTCACAATCCCAGAAGAAGAACCTTCAAACTTCAGGCAATAGCAGCATTTTGGATGGAGCTGCCGACTTTCCTGTTGATTCACATGGACAGCAGTATTTGCGCCAATCTAGAAGTGCTGTTGAGAAGAATGAACATCGTAAAAAGGAGGACAGAGCATTCCTTGACAATTGTTATGATAGAGGTATTATTAAGTACTTTTTTCTTTATCTAGTGATAATGCGCCCTACTTTTGTGAATGTATAAATGGAGCTCAGTTATGAATTTTGGAATGTATTAATCAACTCCGCCTTTTTAGCTTCTTGAACTGCTGTATCTCGAGTTCTGTAAATTGTCTTCAACGTGACTGTTTATAGGTACAAATTCAAAGATAAGGAACAAGAGAGAGTCTGGGTTAGATTGTTCTAGAACTTCTAAAAGAACTAAATGTGAGGATGTAGATGATGCGGCTTTCTTAAAAGCTGGTCATAGCTCAAGCAGTTGTTTGTCAAACAATGCATCAGGGATTGATCGACACTGTAAGGATGCCAGAATTGACACGAAAAAGAATGTAGCTTTCTGTAAGAATTCAGAATTCAATGTTCCAGGTACTTCAGATGATGGTTTCTTGCGTACAAGCAAACATGATAATAAGGATACTGTTAAGAAGAGGAAAGGGAAGGAACATCATGGTTCTTGGGTTCTTTCAAGTGCAAGACCCCACACACTAGCTGCTGGGGATTTCTTGGAAGAAACCTGTGAAAGTGACTATTGGAAAGAAAAGAAAGCAAGAATTTCAATATCTGGGGAAAAGGACACTGGCCGAAGCAAAGCCAATGTAGGAAAAGAGAGAAAGGACAAAGGTACAACAGACCAGTATATTGGGCAAAATCTAGGTAACAGTGTACCTAAATGTAGTGTAGAGGCTACAGATTATTTGAGTAGTGATATGGGTTCTTTACATCCTTTTGCTGCAAATTCAAGCTCTTCCAAGGTATCGGGGTCCTGTAAAAGCAATCTTGGTGGACAGGAAGTGAAAGGCTCGCCAATTGAATCAGTGTCTTCATCTCCTTTGAGATTTCCTAACACCAATAAGTTCACATCAACAGGAATGATCCTAGTTGACAAAGTTGATTTTCAAGATCCTAGCTCACTGACTTCTACTAGTCCTGGAAGATTTTTGCATGGTGAAGATGGTAGGAATGATCAATCAGGGATGGTGAAAAAAAGTGCAACTTTTACCATCATTAATCATATTACTGATGTCGATGATGGTCGCCTAGGTCAAGGTAATCAAAATGCTTGTGAAACACGTACTTCAGAGAAATACCAAGATGAAGAAAGAAGAACTGCCAATCATTCTCAAGTTAATGGGTCTAATTCAAAGAAGTCATGCAAAGGGTCCTCATCATGTTCTAAAGACAAGAGTCGCAGTTCTAGATCTGACAGAGATAAAAATATGAACCAGGTTTCTGATTCTTCCCGTGAATTAGATCACATGAAATTGTATGAGGAAAAAACTAAGAGCGGAAGGAACAAATTTGATGGGAAATGTACCACTCCTGACGAGGCTAAGAAATCTTTCTTTCTCAAGAAAGATGCTTCTGGAGGAATGTTGAGAGAGAGTAATAAAGGAAAAAGTCAACTAAAAGTTGGAAGTCTTGACGGTTCAGATAGTAGACTAGATGTTATGAAAAGCCTGGATAAAAAGAACCATCGTCTTCAACCTGAGCATGATGACAAAAGATTGTCCAAAAAGCTTCACTCTGGCAAAGGCGACCGAGCTGAAGTCAATGGGAGTGGGAGGTCACACTCAGTAGCAAAGGTTCAGATCGAACCTGTTGTGGATCTCCATCATGTTTCTCAGACGGAAAGTGAAGTTAAAGTTTTGACTGCTGACTTGTTTGAAAATGGCAATTCCTTGAAGACACCGAAGCAGAATAAGAAAGCTAAGAACCAGAATGGTCAGTCCGTACATTCAAGGCATCCTACTCCCAATAAGCTCAATGTTCAGGATATTGAAGCCCCTAGTCCTTTTCGAAGAGATTCCTTCATTCACACTGCTAACAGTGCCATAAAAGAGGCAAAGGACCTAAAGCACCTGGCCGATCGTGTTAAGGTTTATACACTTCCTGTTGCATCTGATGTAGACTTTGGCATTGATTCCTTGGTGTTTCATAACATGTTTGTGTTACTGAATTCTTTTGGCATTGATTCCTTGGTGTTTCATAACATGTTTGTGTTACAGAATTCTCGATCAACTGAAAGTACAGGGCTTTATTTCCAAGCCGCCCTCAAATTTCTCCATGGAGCCTCTCTGTTAGAATCTGGAAACAGTGAGGGCACCAAGCACAATGAAATGCTACAGTCAATGGATATATATAGTAGCACAGCAAAACTCTGCGAGTAAGTTATATTCATGCAAAGGTTCCTTCTTGATTTTGTATGATTTGTATTCTTCTGTGCTACTGATATAGCAAAACTTATCATTTATACTTGTTTTATCCGGGGGCAAGGTTATTTTTGTGTTTGTTGATGAAATTTTGTCAAGTCTTTCTACCTTACTGGAAGCTCGTCATTCTTAGTTGATTGGGTTTAATTCTTTCCTACAGTTACAAATGGAATACTTTTTAAAATTGTTTTTTGCCAATCTAAATGGTTTTGGTAGGTTTTGTGCCCATGAATTTGAAAAGTCAAAAGACATGGCTACTGCTGCTTTGGCCTATAAATGTGTGGAGGTTGCATACATGCGGGTAGTTTATTGTTCACATACCGGTGCAAGCAGGGACCGAAATGTGTTGCAAAGTGCTCTACAAATCGTTTTCCCAGGTTAGTTATGCTAAAAATTTCTGTGATATGATTTCAAACTAAATCTCTATTGCTAAGGCAAGAAGGTCCCTTACTGCTTCCCTTCTGCTTTCCTAATGACAAGTATAACATATTAATTGAGTTTTTCCCTATTTTATTATTACAATATAGGTGAATCTCCTTCGTCTTCAACTTCTGACGTTGATAACTTCAACGGTCAAGCAACTGTGGACAAGTCTGCCGTAGCCAAAGTTGTTGGTTCTCCTCAAGTTTCAGGAAGCCATGTTATCACCACACGGAATCGTTCTAGTTTCATGCGGCTTCTCAACTTTGTTAGTATAATTAGTTAAACAACATTTAAATGTGAAATAATGTCTAATTATTGGGACCTTCTATTATTTCACCATACTTTGTGATACAAATTAAAAATTCTGACCAGTATGAACATGCACTTTTTCTTTGCCTGTGTTTTTGTATGTCCGTGTCAGATTCATCCTTATTGAGTGATATCATTTTGTAGGCACAGGATACGAATTTTGCAATAGAAGCCTCTAGGAAATCAAGAATTGCTTTTGCAGCTGTTAGTCAAAGACCTGGAGAGGCCGAGGATAGAAAGGGTATCTGTTTTATCAAAAAGGCGCTCGATTTTAACTTTCAAGATGTGGATGGTCTATTACACCTTGTTCGAGTTGCAATGGAAGCCATCAGTCATTAAACTGAGTGTTTGTATTGGTTTGATCTAGGGTTTCTTCTTTTCCTCTACTTTCTATTCGTTGTCAAAGGAGGAAACTTGGCGAAATGATATCTTGATTGCCAACTTCTGAATCTACCAGACTATGAGTTCAATCCGAACTTTGTCCTTGTAAATCTGTACAGTTATGTTTGAGTTTACAATATTTACTTCATTCTTTATATGGATGCTTTTAAAAATGAATAAGGGCCCCAGTTTTTTTCTACCAAAGTTTATGAGGAGATCCCTGAAACTATGCCATGTTCATGATTACAACATTTAATCCTACTGAGTTGACTGGATCCCACACAATTTGATGAAGTCTTGAGGATTCTCACTCGGTGGTTAATTTCCATCCGGTCGTTAATTCTTTGCATAGGTAACATTTCCCCTCTTTGTCATCTTGTGTATCTTACAACTTGATTTTTGTCGACTCTCTGTTCTTGAAATGGAAAGTAATTTTGTAGTTCTATTCTTCCCATGTGTTTCAATTTGATGCAGAGTTGATTGCCAGCAATTGCAGATAGTGTTTGTCTACTAAAGTTTCTCTAAATCGTTCCGCAGTTGCAGTTGCAATTGCCTTGAAACCACAATATTGATGTTTCATAAAGTTTCATCGGTGTTCTTGGGATTCAATGCCATATCAAACGTCAGCAATTGACAGGTAATTTACCAGTTTCCACGCACTATGGAAGCGAGTATCACTCCATTTGCCCATTGGTACTCATTTTAGATATAATTTGTCATTTTATAAATAACTTTGTAAATTATTTTTTTCCCTCCCATCGGGTTTTTATATTCATGCGACCACCCTCAGCGATTGGACTTTTTGAAGTGAAAGATTCTCAGTGGGTGTAACGCTTTGGAACGTGTTTTTAACTATATTGTGTTATGTTATATGCTGGAGTAATGCTACTGGCAGTCGCTCACTACAGCAGTCGTCCTATGTGGTACACACATGGCATGTAGTTATTTGATGCATTAATGTAATAGTTTTTGACCACATTTAATGCATCAAATACACATTTGACATGTGTGTGCCACAGAGGACGACTGCTGCAGTGAGCGACTGAAAGTAGCATTATTCTATATGCTGAGACAAACTTATATCAAATGCCATGAGGAGCTTAGGAATTTTGGTTTCCGTACCTTTTTTATCCCACGTAGAATGTTTTGGTAGTGAAGGTGCATACAACCTGACCTCTAACCAATGTGACCTCATCGTCGTACTTTGATGACTTGTGTTGAGTATGGCTTTATGACTCTAACTAAATGATCCTCTGTGCAGGTAACTCGACTATGCAAAAACTTGGAAGCTTACAAATGAATAGATAGGATATTTACTAGGTTGTTTCGTTATATATTTTCTGAAATGCCTTGTCTCTCTCTCTCTCTATTGCTAGGAAATTTTTGTAGCGTTGGACCATATTCTATTGTTAAGTTTTGATACAATTCTAAAATTTTCGGGTAAATTATTAATTGACTACACAATCTTTCACATGGTGTTGTATTGAGTCTTTAACCTTAAGTGAAGTTTTGGAATCCTAACCTACTTAAATTGGTAAGCCTCTGTTTGGTACACATTAAAATTTTCATTTTCATTTTCATTTTTCTAATTTTTAATCACGCATTCTTCAATAAAATAATATTTTCCACCATATCAATAACTTTTTTTTCTTTTTCAACCACAAATTTTTCATCAATTTACAATATACATTCTTCCAAAATAATGTGATTCAAAAACACCCTAAATCTGGTCACACAATGAAAAAAAAAGTACGTTAAATATGTAATCGACTTTCACATGAATAACAACTAGATGACAAAATTGTCAAATCACTTTGGCATTTATCTTCAAAGCAATTGATAGTCGCAATCAATTTTAACTTCTCATTAGACAAGTTTTATCACGTGCGGATTTTAAAAAACAATGTTTTTTTTATCACTAGATCTCTGTTTCGTGTTTTAAAATACACATATCAAAGTATCTAACTAGATTTTCACTCAGTAATTACTTATTCTTGAGGATCGATTCACTTTCTATTAGCGAGCAAATAATGAGGTTAAGTAATATCAAACTGGTAAATGCAATATGTTTTCTTCAACATTGAAGGCTGTTGCAGTCTTAAATTTTCTCACATCTCCAATGCGTATTAATTTACGTTGTTTCTTAATCAACAAAAATAAATAAAGCATCACAATGAGTCAATGTATGATGGCACAATAAAGTAGATACTGTTGACAATCTTGATCATATGAATTAAATTATCTGTACAATGAATTTGCACAATGATTTTAACAATGTATGAGGTGTATAGATTATTACCATTGAATTCAAAAACAATCTTTCAAATCAATGAATATAATGCCTGCCAACTCACACATTGTCAAACTTATTGTCAAATTTATTGTACAAGTAGTATAGTTCTATTTATCTCATCCTAAGACGATCAGCTTTCAAAGAAACTAATTGTAGAAGATCATAAAGGGTTTCTGTTTAGCTAGAAAATATTGAGGTTCCGTTTGAATATTCTTCGACTTGTAAATTGTAATCATTTTGATATTTTGCTTTCACTTCTTATGCTTTTATACGAATTATTCGGTGTTAAGTATTTAGCTCTCATTTGACGACCATTATTTTAAAATTCTTTTTTCTATGTACCAATTTTCAACTACACAATCATGTAATAAAATATTTTACACGTAAGCTCAAGATTTTTCTTACTTTTTACTTTTTAGTCATATATTCTTTTAAAAATACTATTCAAACATTTGTTTTTATCAAATAATGGCCATCAAACAAGAATTTAATTTGAAGCGAGGTTTTTATCGGGAAATGTGAGGGGCACAAGGAAGGAAAGCAACATGGTTTTATGGCAAATAATCTATATATAGAGTCATAGAGAGTTTTGATATAATAGAGAAATGTGTTGAAGGAATATCTAGTGAACAAATTATTAGATAAGGTACTTCTCCTTTTACAACTTGAATCCTTGATATAATGATTTTTGCTATTAGAACTTAGGACTTAGGGTCCGTTTGATTGCAAGGGTGGAAAATAGGTGGAAAGAAAATGTTTTCCTGAGAATTGAATTGCCTAGAATTTGTTTTACTGGGAATTGTAATTAATTGTGTTTGATTGGTATAATTTTCCACCTGGAAAATGTTGAAAGTTTGGTATCCGTTTGGCTTCATTTTTTATGAAAATTGTCAATTTTTCTATGTACCAATTTTCAACTGCACAATCATGGAATAAAATATTTTGCACGTAAACCCAAGATTTTTTCTTACTTTTTACTTTTTAGTCATATATTCTTTTAAAAATACTATTCAAACATTTGTTTTTACCAAATAATGGCCATCAAACAAGAATTTAATTTGAAGTGAGGTTTTTATCGGGAAATGTGAGGGGCACAAGGAAGGAAAGCAACATGGTTTTATGGCAAATAATCTATATATAGAGTCATAGAGAGTTTTGATATAATAGAGAAATGTGTTGAAGGAATAGCTAGTGAACAAATTATTAGATAAGGTACTTCTCCTTTTACAACTTGAATCCTTGATATAATGATTTTTGCTATTAGAACTTAGATACATTTTGAGATTCACGATGCCTCAATGGAAAAATCATTATTACGCAATGATTCATTTCCAACGACATGAATTATGAGAGATGGATAAATTGAATAGTACTCGAACAATTTTACTTCTAAGTAGTGGCCATGTGAGAGACGCTCACACATAACCGGATGGAAAGAGTCCAAAATGATCATTTGAGCACGAAGTAATAAGGTTTGGGTTTTCTTTCCCAAATTTGGAAGAACAAGGACCAGAATCGAAACGATCCTATAGTTTAGGGACCATATATGAAACTTTCACAATTGGACAAACCAATTTTGTTTTCGTTCCACTCTGTCTTCCCCCTCTCAGTAGCACAATTCATAACCCTAATTTCTTCCCCTTCTCTCTCCAATTCTATTTCTTTCAATTCCTGAGATCCTGGCCCATTTGCACAGATTTTTTTGTTATACATTTCGAACCCTTTAATTTTCACCAATTGCAACTCTTATGATTCGAGTGTTATGATTTAGAGATTATTTCTGAAATTACCAATGGAGTTGCCGAAGGAGGAGAATCAATTGGCAGTTACTACCAGCTCTGCGACGTCGTATCATGACTTGTTGCACGCACAGCTGGGTCTTTTCAAGAGCCAGGTTGAACACCTCGAAAATATTGTCACCACTCAATGCGAACTCACTGGTGTGAATCCGCTCTCTCAAGAAATGGTAATCTTTCTTCATATCTTCTGATTATACAGAATCCGCTGATTCCTTTTTTTTTTTGGTTAAAATAAACTTTGTTTGTTGATTGATATTTCAGTTTATTTTGGATGCTTGCTCTTCTAATTATTGTAAAAATTGATGCAGGCTGCTGGATCGCTATCAATTAAGATAGGTGAGTCTTGTTTTCTTTGTAAATATGTTCTCACATGTAGTTTTTGTCCAGTTGGTGATTAAAAGTGCTATCAATTAAGATAGGTTAGTTTTGTTTTCTTTATAAAGATGTTCTCACATGTAGTTTTTGTCCAGTTGGCGGTTTAAAGTATTGTTTTGGTACCCTTGTTCGTAGCCACGTGCTCTAATCCTCTGAGCTACAGTCCTACCCTGTCTCAACTGAATCTGTTCCGGGGAGTGCCGTTAAAAAAGGAACCTTTCATCTCCCCTCTCCCCAGACATTTCATTTCGGATTATATTTAAGCTTTTGCCAATGAATTATATTATCTTACAAATTTAAGGAAATGACACTGAATTAAATTTTGACTAACTGTTTTTACCCTTGGATCACATGATGTGTTGTTGATTTTCTGTTCATTGGTTGATATTGTCCCAGTTGACAGTACAAAAAAATAGTTACATTTATTTGAAACCATTTATGCAGGTAAGAAACCCCGAGATTTGCTGAATCCCAAGGCTATTAAATACATGCAATCAGTATTTGCTCTAAAAGATACTATTAGCAAGAAGGAAACACGGGAGATCAGTTCTCTTTTCAGAATTACAGCCACACAGGTTCTGTTGGGCCCAGAACTCTATTAATCATTTTTTATTTTGGTTTTTTGAACGCATATTTTATTATTCATTGTAAAATGGTAGTCAATTACTGCATGTACAATCAATGTTCTGCATTTCTTGCTTCATTGGCAAATTATCGTCTCTTCATTGTTGGTTTAGTAACTTGTCATGGTGTATTAATTTAATTTGTTCTTGGAAGGTGAAGATTGTAAATCGGAGATTGTAATGTCTGATGAGCAGGAGGTATATGCATGCAATAATTTTCGAATGGAAGTAACTTGAAAGATTAGTTCATCATTGAATTCCATGACTATACAAATAAAGCACAGAAATCACAGAGAAACAAAAAATGCATGAACTGTTTATTAGTCTAACGTTATTAATATATCCTAATATCATTCATGTATATATCGTACAAAAAGACTAGTGTTTAAAATCCTATACTTTGACTTTCATTTCTTGTGAACATCTATAGGAGAATAGATTTAGAAATTTCGTATACAAGAGTTGTGGCAAAATATATGCATACATGTAAATCGTGCAAGCTTCTCACATATTATGAGAAATCTGGAAACTGTGTTTCATGATGTTTATAAAACCCTAGGAGGCTATGGTGCAAAGAGTCTCAAGATAAATGGTGACACGTTATGAATTAACGTGATGCAAACAGATTGATGATCAGTGAAAATTCATCTATTGACTTTGCAACACCAAGCCCTGTATATGGGGAATTGGAGAAAAATAGACGGAAATGGAAATCTAGTACTTCAGTTATATATGGATGGACGGGCGGGAATAATTTGTTGGTTTCTTATTTTTAAGTAAACCAAGATGTGCTGTTATTTATCTCAAATTTCTAAGATAGTCACAAGCTTTTAATCCTGATACATAGTTGATAAGTTTAGTTATTCAAAGTTAAATAAATAGAATAACACACCGAAAAATTTCATTTAAAGTACTTAGAAATTCGAGATCTAGAAATTCTTGCATGCCTAAACTATTTTAGGATTGAAATTTTAGTTTGTGTTGAAAATTGGAGATAGTAATGCTTGTTGCTTGATGAGCAGGATGCATATGCATGCACTAATTTCTTCAAATAGAAGACAAAGAATTCCTGCTTTGTCATTTCTAAAAGCAGGTGGAATTTCAAATCATTCACGTGCTTTAACTACTAATGCTATGTATATGGGAGCATCAACTCCGTTCCTGTGGGCTTTTGAGGAGCTGGAGAAATTTTTGAAATTCTATAAGTAATAAGATATTAGTTTCATTACCGAAAACTTGTCAAAAAAAGGGGAAAAAAATGAAAGGCATTGTGAACTACACATTACACGGCATCATTCATGTATGTATTGTACAAAAAGACCAGTGAAAAATCCCTAACTCTGATGTTCACTTATGATGAACATCAATCCGAGAATGGATTTAGAAAATCCAAACACCATCCGTCTAAGTTAGAGAAATTTGGAAACAGGGTTGCACGACTATGGTTATTAAATTAAACCCTAGGAGGCTATGGCGCAAACAGTCTAGAGATTGATGGTGATGCTTTACGAATCAATGTGATGTGAACATATTGATGATCCGTGAAAGTTCAGCAGTTGAATCTAAAATACCAAGCCCAATAAATGGGGAATGACAGGAAATATAGACAGAAATGGAAGTCTACTGTATTTACATATACATGGATGGAATATGAACAAGCCAAAATAATTCATTCCTTGTTATCTATGCCGAAGTTTAGATGGAAATTTCTAAGATCCTACAAGCTTTAAATCGTTTTACAGAATTGGTAATTCTAGTTTTTTAAAGGTTAATACCTAAAATTTTGGTGTACATGCACAAATATGAAGTTTTTTCATATAATGTGAGAAGAAGTTTGAGATCTATAAATTATTGACATTTTAAAGTGTTTAAAGGTTGAACTTTTAAATTTTAACACTTTTAGAAGGTGGAGATTGTAATGGCAATACCTGACGAGCAGGATGCATTTGCATGTAATAATTTTTTTGAACGGGAAATTTTGCTTTTGTTTATTTGAAGCACCGGCTGAATTATCTTCTTATTTCATTTGTAGGTTAGGGACTTCTTCAATAATAAAAGATCACGAGTGAGGAAATTTATCACATTGTCAAGAGAGAAGGCAAACAGATCCACTGCCTGCAACGAGATACCCGATGAGGCCCCCTCAACATCAAATCCCAATATACCTATTGAACCTGTTCCGATACACAGTGTAGTTCCTATAAATATTGAGGAAGGACCTTCTTGCTCAACACAGGATGAGGTCCTTTCTCACGTGGACAACTCAGATAGATATTTCGTTGACAATATATTTAGTTTAATGAGGAAAGAAGAATTGTTCTCGGGGCAGGTTAAATTGATGGAGTGGATCCTGCAAATACAAAATCCTTCAGTGCTATATTGGTAATTGTAAATTTCTTTTATGAGGGGAACAATTTACGATTAGAATTCTGGAAGCCCCTAACCATAGAGTATCTCATGTAATTACAGGTTCTTAACTAATGGCGGCGTGATGATTTTAGCGACATGGCTAAGTCAAGCAGCTTCAGAAGAACAGACGAGTGTTCTTAATGTTGTTCTCAAGGTCCTCAGCGTTCATAATGTTGTTTTACTGCATGCTTTGCTCAAATATCTTTCAATAGTTTTAAAAGTTAATTTTCAATTTTTAGGTACTTTGTCACTTGCCTCTGATGAAGGCCCTCCCTGTACAAATGTCAGCCATATTACAAGGCGTTAATAAGCTGCGGTTTTACAGTAAATCAGGTGTGTTCTTTTGTTTTTAAAATTGCTCCTTGGCAGTGCGTCTCTCTTTAACTGGAAATAAGGAAACTATCCCGATTTGTTGATATTGATTAATTATTGTTTCAGAGAGTAAAATGAGATTCATAGACCCAAATATTCACTTATAGACTGGTCGACAATGAATAATTATTTGATCCTTCTCGTTTGCACAATTATGTTGAAACTGACTAGGAAATATCTTGGTTACTTGTCTGCTCAACGCACTTTGAGGTTTTTTTCTAATGCATTATGGTGCAATTAAATTATGGTTGGGAATTGTTTATAATCGGTTTAAATTATAAATAGATGGAAATAATGGTGGATAAGTGGGTACCATGGAATGTGAATAAAAATATTTTGACTGATATAGACAAGTGCCAAACAAGGGCTGTATTTGTTATTACATTAAACACACTGTTCACAACCATTTATGCTTAGCAATAGTGGTCTAGTTTTAACATTCCTTTCCTAGTTTTTCTCATTTTTCTGATTTGAAGATCAGACATCTCAAACAGGGCAAGAATGCTATTAGCCAGATGGAGCAAGGCGTTCGCAAAGAGCCAGGCTTTGAAGAAACGCAATGGGATGAATTCGGCTGCTAATGCACAGGATGAGATGCTACTGAAGCAGAGGTAAGCTGATTTTTTCTTTTCTATGTTTGCTGAAATTACTTCTATTTCTATTCTGACAACTAGTGTGTAATTTATGCAGTATTGATGAAGTTATGGGCAATGAAGCAAGAGATTCAAAAGTTGACAACTCTGTAAGTTATTTGAGGATGCTGTATTATTTGCTCAAATCATAACTTGTGTTGCGGAGAATGCTTACTAACCATCCTAAACTTACAGGCTAATGCTCTAATATCCTTTGAAAATCAAGACAACTTAAGGTATGTGACACTCCTTTCCATACAATTGTTTGCCAAATTTGATTGTTGGAGACATTTTAAGCCCGGATTCCTTTTCCAGGAAGCTCAGACCTTCTCAGCCACCAAAAATGATCACTGCGTCAACAGATGACTCTAACAAAAGGCGAGGTGTTTTATCATCACGTATCCTTCTATTCGCCCTAGAATTAATCAGAGAACTAATATAGGTTTCTATAGGGGAATTTCAATTTTTTTCCTTTTTTTGGGCTCAGTAATTCTTTTATTGGTGTTGAACGTCTGAGCACTTGCTATTATTTGTTACTTTTACGTTGATTCTTCTGACTTAACACAATTCCTTTTGGCGATTGGAAATTTTTAGTATTCCTTAAATAGTCAGTTTTGAGTAAACTGATGAAGTTCAATTATGCAAAGGCTGAACCTTGGCGCTACACTATAATAGGCTTTATTAGGGGCCACAAAACTCTACCCATGCTTTGAGTGAGTTAAAATTAATGCTACAACCTTTGGTAATGTTAAGGTCAGAAATGGCTTGCCATTTCAGATGTATAGCAACATAGTTCAAACTTGTAGAATGGAAAAGGCCAGCAAAATGAATGATGATGATCCTGATGAATATAATTGCTAAAAATTTTGATTTAGGAAGTAGTGTATTTGATGAAGTTAAAATCCCTTGGTCTATTTAATGACTGCTGATACGATGACGACTTGAGAAATTGGTTTCTTGTTTTTGTCCTGGCTTTTCTGAAAATCAATTTTTGCTTCATAGGTGGTTGATAAATGTTGAAAATTGTACGGCTGAAAAGTTATTATAAAGGCTATTCTGTTTGTAGATATGAACATGGTAAATGAAAGATATGCTTATGTTTTTGCCTTTAATTTGTATTCGCATTAAGTGCACATGATGCATTTCCGTGAGCAAAATTCTGAGCCTTCCCGTGTAAGAATAATAGTAACTAATGATTATGCCCTTGTTTGATTCCCATTATTTTCAAAATACGTTTTTCCCTCTTTTATTTTTAACAACACATTATTCAATAAAATAATATTACACACAAACCAAACACTTTCCCTTATTTTTTAACCGCACATTCTACATCAATCTACTATTCCAAAATGCATTATTCAATAAAAATGACGCTCAAACAGGCTCTATGTGACATTACAATAAGCCCACTTGTGCAACATTATCCCTTCATATTCATTATGACATTTGAAATATTTGGCAAATTATCATCCTATCAATAAGCTGATGAATAAATTTCTGTCCCTGAGAAAGCTTAGTCAATAAACTACTGTTTGATCTCGAGGTTGTTTTGCTTTGACAACTTTTGGATGAGATAGCAGTTTTGTTTTTGTAATTTTTTAATAGTGACCACAAAAGCACTTTAAGAATTTTAGATATGGTATCTTCCCCCATTCATACATAAGAAATATTGAAGCTAGGCTTCCAAAAGTGCTGGAAGAGAAGTGAACCAAAATAATCTTCTTGCTGAGTTTTGGCAGAGGGCAAACAAATAGCCATGGCTAGTGTTCTTTGTATTTTGGTTTACAGAAGAGTTCTAAATAGAACACTGTGACTAAGTTTTCTTCCAACTCCACAAAGTAAAATCAAAAGATATTTAATTTTTGCTGACATCTGACTAGGCAGATATTTAGATTATTTTACTCTCCATATGTTATGGATTGAATGGATAAGCCTGCCATTTGACTGTCTTAACTAGTTACAGAAGCACAAAAGCGCAGAAAAGTTCAGATGGTGGAGCAGCCAGTCCAAAGAACAGGTGTAAGGAGCAGTCCTCAGGTTGCAAAATCTGTACCTGCAACTCAAAGCCGCCCACTTTCTGCTGATGATATACAAAAAGCAAAAATGCGTGCTCAATTCATGCAGAATAAATACGGTAAAAGTATTACATCTCCCGATGAAAGTCAGAAAAAATCTCTCTCTTCACAGGCTAGTCCTTCAGTACCCAATGCATTTGTTCGCCCTAAACTGGAGGAACAGAAGAAACTTGATATAGCTTCCTCCAAGGTGGCTACTAAGCAGGAAACTCCTCGAGATGTCACAGTGAATGTCGATTTGGATCCTCCTAGGAAAAAATGTAATAACGTTCAGATCCCATGGCAGACACCTCCAGGTAAATTTAAATTTATTTTGTTTTCTTCTTTATATTTTCATCCGATCATTTTATTGCATAAGAAGCAGCCTGGCAGATAATATTTGCTTTTTCATGGTCAGGGTTCCTTCGAAGTTCAATTTAATCAATACATGTTTGGCTTGTTAAAAATATCTGGAAGGTTAATTATGTTCTGCTACTTTCCCTTGCCATGCCTTTCGCTCGCCTATTTGAAAATAAATTTGATGACCTTTCTCCCTTTCCCTATTTCCAATTCATTTGCAAAACTGCCGTGGCTATCCCATAATATAATGTGAGGTAATGAATAGATTGCTAGCAAGGAAAATTGGGCGACGTACACAATAAATGAACTGATGCCTAAATAACCACACAAACCAACGCCATCAGCATTATTAAGAACTTTCTTTTTGATCAATCAATGCATCTCCTGGCTGTTTCTGAGAGAGGAGGAAATCTTGCATTTAAAGAATTCTCAGATTGAAATTGACATATATCGCTTCTTTTTCTTGGAGATTCATCAAATTATTGGGTTATGTTAATTTCTGCATATCGATGCAGACAACTTCATTTGTATTTGCTGACTTGTCTCCTAAGAAGATACTTGTAAACTTGTTATGTATCCGTATCCGATACGTATCCAAGTTTTGATACTCTCTGATACCCTTCGATACGTACTTGATACTTGTTTTTTAATTATTTTATATATTTTTATATATTTTAAATTTTCGATACGTATTTTTTAATTATTTTATATTTTTGTATGATTTTTGATACGTATCTGATGCTTCATGGTTCACGTCCACTTTTACTACAAAACATTGATTTGAAACTTCTTGTGCAACCTTTTTCTTCATCTAGATGTACTCTTTTGTGCACTCTATGAAAATGAATAAAATAACACTACAACGAGTTAAAGAATTGGTTTTCATTCGTAGCAATTTGCGTATTTTATTAAGAAAATTAGATCTCTATTCAAAAGGAGAATTCAAAATGTAGCATATTGTCTAAGACTCATTTGATACTCTTCAAAGTGTTGAACTGCTTGAGGTTGTTAATATATCATTAGATGAGCTGGAGTTGGAGAGTTGTTTTTAATAATAAGGAAGAAATAGATGTTGATGCAGAAAAAAATGAAGTTTCGAAAATTAATGGTTAAGATAAAGTGCTTTAGTATTTTTTTTTATTATCATGCTTCTATATTAATTTTTTTTTTTATATATTAATAAAATTATGTTGAATTTTATAAAACGTATCTGCGTATTCTAATTTTTTCAAAAAGTCGTATCCGAATTACGTATCCGTATCCGTGCTTCTTAGCCTGTCTCATCTCACGTACTTAAGAGAGCTAATAACCTTTACTTTCTGTTCATTTGTTATCGATGTACTTGAATTAAACATATCAATTTATTGCTTGAAAGGACAATTGCCTGGATATGGTGTTGATGGAGCTAAAATTGGTTTAGCGATGCATTGCCATATAATATACCTTGTACTGTTAGGTGGTCAATTTTTAACCTTGCTTAGTACTGCTTTTTAAATTTAGTAGAGTTGATTGATGATAAAATCAGAGAGAATGTAAAGCAAATGGGTGTTTACAAGAATGGCCAGTAAATTTATGGTTTTGCTTGTTTAGATGTGCTATTCCTCCTGGACAACTATTATCCTTAAATATTAATTTTGGGAATCGTATCTCAATGCACTGTTCCTTTTTTTATGCAAATTGTGTGAGGGTTACAACACAATTCTAATTTTCAACTCTTTGCTGCCATTCGTTTGGGTTAAGGGGTGTGCACCTGTCAGGTGGGAAGTACTCTGTCAACTAATTCAAGAGCCAGCCATCATTCGCGTAATAGCCAAATTACTAGCAATCGCTTTTAACAAGTCAGATGTTCCTTAACTGCTAATTTAATGGTGAAGGAAATCAGATCAGAAAGATACGCGAACAAATTGACTATAGTATAAGGTCAGATGTTTTTGTAAGCAGTAAGCAGCAGATCTCTCCTTATTTTGGGAAAGCTGGCTTCCGCGTGTGAATTCTTTCAATTTCACTAAGGAACTGCCCTTAAGTATGACTCTTAAGGGATCTGCCTTAGAATGAGTTAGATTTCCTGTGCTAGCAAGAGTAAAAAATAAGGAATGTAGTGAAGAGATGCAACGGGGTTCATATACTCAATTTAACTGCGCTTTTGGCAGATGCAAATTTTACCACTATTTATGTCATATGGATCCTGGATTTGAGTTTGGGATCTAAATGGAAGTCGAGGTTACAAGAAGTGTCATTAAGGGGAAATTGACAAAAGAATATGGCCCTGCATTTTGAAATGGAAAACGTAATTTCAAATTCAATTCAATCATACCTCAATTTTTTCAAATATGGAATCTGGGATCAATTAACGGGAGATCTTGGGAGATAAATTTGTTGGTACCTTGCAAATGAACTAATTATGTTAGCTGCTATAGTTAGAGGAAAATTTGAAGCCTGCAAATGATCTAAATTTTTTGCTTCTCGATATTATCGTATTTTTGATAATTACAAGCTCAACATTTCGATTTGAATGGAAAAGATTGTATGCTGCGACATATTTCAAATATGAAGTAACTATATGACAGCAATAAACTCAATCGTGAATGAGATTGACATTCCGAGGAACAAAATCTTTCTAAAATTAGTATGTAAAGCATCGTAATGTACTCTGTTTCTTCTTTTAGCATGCCGCGCAACTATATTGGAACCGAGCCTTTACCTGCTGGTATTCAGTATTTACTTTTGCTTTTTCTTTCATGCAGAAATCAAAATTAGCGATTCTTGGCATGTCGGCATTGGTGAAAATAGCAAGGAAGTTGAAGTGCAGAAAAATAGAGCGCGGCGAGAGAGAGAAGTTGTTTACAGGACAATTCAGGAAATTCCCCCAGACCCGAGGGAACCTTGGGATGGGGAGATGGATTTTGATGATTTGCTAACCCCAGAAATACCCATCGAGCAAATGCCTGATGTCGAACCATTAGAAGCACCTGTGGAAAGCCAAGAAGTGGCAGCAACCACTGCCTCTACATCGTCACAGAATGTCAGTGGGGTCGGTATGCCTGAACCCGACCTTGAGTTGCTTGCTGAATTGCTTAAAAATCCGCAGTTGGTTTTTGCCCTGACTTCTGGCCAGGGTGGTCCATTATCAAGTGGCGAGACTGTTAAGCTGCTCGATATGATAAAAGCGAATGGAGTGAACTCTTCGAGTAGTTTAGCAGCTCTAGGCACAAAAGCTGATAATAAGGTTGAAGTGTCTCTTCCATCCCCAACTCCCTCCAGCAATCCTGTAACGGTGCGTAAATTTAAGCACATTTTGTACACAACTTTGTCGAATGGAATTGTTTTAGTTTTCTCCGCTACCTCGTGTTCATGTCTGTATACTGGTTTAACTTGCAAGTTTTGGAGGTCTGGGAGGATGGGACGGGTTATATACGTGAACACTGAAGCTGAAAATGTTCGTCGTTTTCATTCACTTCATTTCCCCTTAAACCTACGAAATATTGAATCCCATAAAGAAAAAGGAAAATAAAAAAGAAAGGGAACAATACAGCAAAAGTCGAAGACATTTCTAAACTGTGTAACAGTTCATTATTTGATCATTACCTCTTTACAATTCCTTTACTTCCATTGTTATTTTGTGGAAGGCGTCTACTGATGGATGGTATTTTTTGATTCTTTTCTCGACTCTTGATTTTTGCAGGGTGGATTGAAGCCTGATTTTTTGAGAAATCCATTTTCACGGCAGAACGCAGTAGCAAACGGTAATGCACACATTCCGGCAAGCAGCTTAAATCATTCAAAGATTCCGGCCAACCTCGTCTTGGCATCTCAATCGTCTGCTGTTCAGCAGTTGGTCCACCAACACCAAGTGGTACCACCAGCATCATCTTTTCGAACAGCTTCTCAACAATGGCACCTACACATAACTTCGGCCAACACAAAATTAGCCTCGGAAATGATGCCAAACACTAATAATTTAGCTAATTCTACCTTAGGTAACGCTCAGCCATTGCCGGGTCCAGTTATGTCAACATTAACTGAAAGACAAATTTCATACGGGCCTGAGCCCCATTACCGGGAAATCGCACAATCAAATTATTATAATGCTTACACCAGAGGACCTCTTCAGGCTTCTGAAAGAAATCACTTAGAGGAGGCACCTAAGTTTGAGACGTGGAGCCCGGAAAATAGTCCGATGAGGTCTCATGGATATGTCGTGGGCCGGAATCAACCCCAACCAATAATGAACTCGAGACATGGTTATAGAGCCGAAGGGGCAATGCTGCAGGATCCTTTGCAGCCATCAGGCTATCAGGATCATGGTCGAGGTGGGAACAGAGGATGGCACGGTGGGAGAAGATAGCCTGTGATTAACCTGTGCTAATAGTGATGTTCGAAGATTATGGCGTGGACGTGGTATATGGACTATGGTCCTAATGTCAGCAAATTTAAGAATTAGTGGGTTTTTTTTCAGAGAATTTTGGATTTTTTTGTTCTCAATTTGGGTAAATTATTGTGTTTTACATTTAACTTTTCTTACTTCTGTAAAACTTATTCGACAGCTTTCAACTGTTAAATGTTCAAAATGAGCTACACAAACTGATATGTTAGACATCATCTGAAGTTTCTTGGAGCATCATTGGAGGGTTGGTAGTATGACGATTTTATACTATTTCAACCGATATGTTGGATTGAATATCAATAGATATGTATGTTTTAAAAAGAAAAATGATTTGGCACATTGATTATTAATTTTTTTTCTAAAAATTGTTATGATTATAAATTTTAATTATTTGATAAATGTAGAAAATTAAAAAAAATTATGATATTAGTTCGAAAATTAAAAAAATATATATATATTTTTAAATTTCTTTCTGAAATAGAAAAAAAAAAAAATATATTTTTTTAAAAGAAAAGTTTGAACGAGAGCCTAGGATTTGCTTAAAGGAAACGCTGGTTCCTGTCTTTATCATCCAGAATCAAAATTCTGGCAGTTCACCTTGCCAATACAGAAATCTTGAATCAAGTTAATTTTTTTTGAAGAGCGTTAAGATGGGATATAGATTCCTGATCAATTTCAATGCAATTCAAAAAGTCTCCAAAATCTCATCATCCTACTCTTACAAGAATTTAAATAATCCCACCGCTGCACTCCTTGCTCTCAATTCTGAGTTATATGGGAATTCTAACGACAACCCGAATTTCAAGGTTCACAAGCGGTGGCATATAGGCCATTCCCACCACCAGCATGACCACCACCAGGATCTCAGCTCCGGCAAGGAGGGGGACAAGATTTTCCGGCTTGGCCTAGCTGCTGATGTTGGCTTGGCCACCGGTAAAGCCTTGACCGGTTATCTTTCCGGTAGCACTGCTATTATTGCTGATGCGGCTCATTCAGTCTCCGATGTGGTATAAGTAGAGTTTAAATAACAATTTATTATTATTATTAGCATTACACTAAATTACTTGAAAGCTTCATGTTTTTCATTCTTTCATTTCTGTTTAGTTAATTGTACGAGTCTGATGGTGTAGGTTTTGAGTGGGGTGGCATTGTTGTCCTTCAGAGCTGCCAGCGCACCGAAGGACAAAGAACATCCATATGGTCACTTATGATCCGTATCTACGCGCTACTCTGTTCATGTTTGATATTTGTAGCTCTATTTGGTTTTCCTTTGTTTTGGTAACTAAATCAGTTCGTTATTGTATAATAAAAGCGCTGCTTGGGTAGATTCATCTAGCTAAGATACAAATTCTATCACTAAAACATGGAACATTGATTTATATGCATAAAGGTCGTTCATTTGACAAACTTCTGGCAAATGTGCGGCTGAGAAGTGCGTAAAGTGAGGAAAAAGATGGATTCTTGTGGTGTTAATTGGAGAATATCAGTGAAATCTAGTATCTACTGCCATATGAAAAAAATATTTGAAACTATTTTGTTATGTTAGGAGTCCTTTCTTTCTCAAAAACCAAGAAGCATAGATGTGTATTGGAGAAACAGATACCATAACACAACATGGACAAAATGGGAATAGGAAAGCATAAAATTAGAACATGGCCATGCTAAGGATATCTTAGTGCTTGTTTATGATACTAGTTTACTTGAAATGTTCTTATCCTTAGACCTGTGAATAAAGTCATGCTGCACATATTATTATTATTAATATCACTCCATCTTTCTATGTACTCGTATTAGTCATAGTGTCATATAGCTTTTATCAACTGCATTGATCAGAGAATTCATAATACACTTCTCCAAATACTGTTCTGCGTGACTGTGATTCTGCTTAAATAAATAATCAAGTTAATATGATTCTCTTTCCCTTAATCAAGATCTTGATATGCTACACTTTTAGTAAACACTGAAGGCACTCGGCTTGGCATTTGCTTACAAAGTGTGAGGTTGAAATAGTTATTCTTGTTAGATATGATTTTTCTTCTCAAGAATTGATTGAATTTTGATCTTTTTAGAAAAATGTTGTTCACACTTTTTGTAATTCCTATCCTTGTGCTTGGAATTTTCTGATTCATGTCTACCGTCAATGGTCACTTATTCTCAGTTTCCTCTTGTTTCTAATTTCTAATCCAGATTCATTCCAAGATGCTATCTAGACATATATGATTAGTCATTGTTTCTTTTCCGAGTCTATGATTGAAATGCTAATTGGCATATTCTATAGTATATAGAATAAATGGTGACTACACAGTGCTGAAGAAAAGTTTTTCCCTTGGTTCACGGACATATTTAAATTTTTTGTACAATTCATATTACCCTCTTACAATTCCTATTGCTCTTCGTTTTTCAGGACATGGTAAATTTGAGACATTAGGAGCTCTTGGAATTTCTACTATGCTTTTGGCTACTGCTGGAGGCATTGCATGGCATGCTTTGGACATCCTAGCCGTAAGTTTCTAAACACATGTTTGGGAATTATTTATAAATGGTTTAAACTATCAATAGATAAATGAGTGGTGCATAAGTAGGTAGTACTGACCCTCGAAATGTAGGATAAAAAATGGCTTGATTGTTTACAAACTTTTTATAAATTTGAGCCAAACATAGGTTAGTTTTCAATTCTTTTGGGAAATGGTTCTTTATGTTGGGTTGGAAATATTGTAAAATATCAGCATCAGAGATGTCGTAAATTGTTGAATGTAGATGTATGGTTGATTTAATCATGTTTTATTTCTTTTTAATAAAGTAATTATATTTTATCTGCAGGAAATGTGGTCTGTTGCTCCTGAGATAGTTAATCAGTCCTCAACTCATGACCACGTGCACGGCCACCACCACGGTGCACATCACCATGGAATGGACATGGAACACCCAATTCTGGCTTTGAACATGACTATAGTATCCATAGCTGTTAAAGAAGGGTCTCTGCAAGTCATGTTACTGTTAATTTTATGTGATATTGTTAGTTTTAGCTCCTTTGCAATCATAACATGCCTATATAATTTGGACACACTCTCATGGGAATTACCATCTAGCATCTTGTGTATTAGTTGTCATGTCAACTCTTGTATGTTCACTTCACTTAACAGATAGATTTTAGCTTATAATTTTTAAATATTGATATATTCAGGTGAAGTTGTGACTTCAATAATTGCTAATGATAATTAAAATGAGGACTTCTAGAAGTTGATTGTTATGCCCAGAAAAAAATATATCAAATTCGCCACCATAAAGAATGGAAATTGGATGTTGACTTTTATATGTTTCACTATTATTTTTCAACTGACATATCAGAGGATGGGAGGAGGCAATAAATAGACTTTTAGCAGGATCTTAGCTTTTATTAACTTTTGATTCGAGAGAATAAAGAATTATGGAGAAACCTAATGGCCAGGACTTATTTTTGCTTCTGTTGGGACTAAGTTAGATGGAAGAAAGTTTGAAGTAGAATTGGTGAATTGATAATCCTTACTCTTGATTAGACTTTCTTTTCATTTTTCTTTTTGTTATAACCATTCAAATTTGTTTGGATATGAATTGTGCTTCGTTTAGACTGGTAAATAGCTTAAGTTGATAATAAATTAATATTTATTACTGCTTCAGTGCCAATAAAGCATGCATATAGTTGTAATCTTGCACACATATATTATGCAGACTAGAGTGTGCCTGTCAGACCCATAGCAAGTGCTTATTTGATGTAGTGATAAAGCAGAGAGGTTTCTTGCTACTTTATTTTATTCATTTACATATTCTACTTCTTTTGATATCGTGAAACAACACAAATTGGCCAAAGAGTTTATCCATGGATCCATACATGTTGAAATGGCATGGAAACTCCAGAATATCAGGAAGAACATTAACTACAACAATTATTTGTCATGATTATGGAACTAAGACTAACACGTGTTTACCTCTTTTCTTTCCTCCACTAGTAGGAACAATAGTTTATTGATGAGGCATTTTGCTGACAATTGATAGCTGCTTTCCTGGTTACGTCTCATTAGAACATTGCATCCTGCCTCGATTTATTAATTGATGATTGTGGGACTGGATATCAATTAAAATTTTATTCTCATATATTGTTAAATCATGTAAGATACTGATTGACAAGTAGAGATCCCTGGTTCTCGATTGCATTTAAGAAATATAGCATGCTCCTTTGTCATATATATATATTACCTTCCAAGTTGCTTTATTGACTTATACATTTTGCCTGTACCATGTAAGATGTTGATAGACAAGTAGAGGCTCCTCGTTATCGATTGCATTTAAGAAATACGATTTTTTTTACCAGGTTATATTGGATAACAAAAAAGGTGGGGGAAAAGACGGGCAGTGGTCTTATGAAAGCCAACGCTTGGCATCACCGCGCTGATGCAATTTCATCAGTAGTTGCTCTCGTAGGGGTTGGTAAATATTTCTCTTTGACTAATGTGGCTTTGAAATTTTACTTTGGTTTTTGTTTTTACTTTGCTTCCTAAGTGGCAATTAGTGTTGCGTTCAATATATTACTTATGCTGAGTTGTTTGGTACTCATGGCTGTGCAAACCTGTTAGCAAATTTTGTTGATGTTTGGAAAAGAATAATCATTACTTCTACCACACAAAGGGCTATCTCAAGGAGTATCACCACATAGCATATTTTTGTTTCTATATGTTTGTCTGCTGAAGTGTATTTCTATTTTAGAATTTGAGAGATTTTAGTTTCAGAAGCCAGGTGGTCGAAGAATGTCATCCTCTTATACTCCTAGAGATGTCTTTGAATGATGTATGAACCTTTGCTGTAGTTGTCAACATTTTGTTTTCTCTATTTCTAGGTTTCTTTGCGAAATTTTAGGAAAATATTTCTAGTTTTTAACTTTTATAGTTATTTATTCCATTATTAACTTGCCCATTATCTGACGTTGTTGGGCTTTTCTATCATTATTGACAATGTTCGTTGTGAATTGCGAGATTAGGTGGATCTTTTCTTGGGGTGAGATTCCTGGATCCTCTTGCTGGACTTGTCGTTTCAGGAATGATCTTAAAAGCTGGACTTGAAACTGGTTACCAAAGGTATAATTTTGTCATATAATTGGTATGTTTTTATTGCATATTTGTGAAGAAAGGCCTTTAGTAGAACCGTCCTAGATAAGTTTTCAACTCGGTGGTGAGTTTTTGGATTCATTCTTCCTCTTGAATAAGCATCATTTTGTCAAATGGATTAGTTTGAGCATCTCATTGTCCAAAGATACCTTTGATTCTTTGGAAATACATTTAGTGTTTGCCAAAGAGTTATAACATTGCTCTCTTCCATTTTGACATCTTTCTAATTTAGTATCTTGGAATTGGTGGATGCTGCTGTTCCATCACAACAACTAGAACCTTTTAAACAAACAATTCTAGGAGTTGAGGGAGTCAAAGTAAGTCAATTTCAACCTTTGTATATTTATTTTTATTTTTTTCCATTCATTTATCTTTGTATATTGTATTTAATTTCCTTATTTACTTGTTATTGACTTAATATGAAGTTTGTTTATTTACAAGATATTTGTCTTTAAATTCTTCATGTTACCCTGAATTTTCTATTTTGATCTCAATATGTTTTTTTTCCTATGTGCATACAAGAAAATGAAATTAGATTTAAAGCACATGGGATATTTATTGGGGTAATGTGATGCCTATTGTTGTAAATCATGCTGATGTGGCGTTATCACCCGGCAACAGGATTTTTGATTTATTAGTAGCCGTATGTTTTTTAAGGCTAAACTGTAGCATAAAAATTGAATTTGCTGTGAAAAACTTTGCTTTATTAATATAGAATACATCGGTGGAGGGTCATTCCTACCATGTGTTTTGGACGTCTTAATATACATTTTTTTCTCACTCGAGATATTCTTACAAGTCTTGGACAAAAGAAAAAAAACATTAGTTAATTCCAGAAAATGGGAAAAAAATTAGATAAGCAAAATATGAAAACAAAAGAAAGTTTGTGTGATTGCCCGTTTATTGTACTTGAGATGCTCTTTACCACTTGAATGGTTACAAATGAGCTCCCTAGTCTATTGATATTCCTCAAATAGAAGGCACAGATTTATTTGATCATTCAACAATTGGTAAAAACTCTCTTGGAATATTTTGATGGAGAGGTTTAGAGAATTTCTACCAATCGTTACAAAGAGGATTTACTTTATGCAAAGCAATCCTTATTTTGAGTAGACAAGAGGTGGTTGTGACAATTACTGTGTTAAACCATCAGGCTTTAAATCATGCTAGTGTCCTGGTTTATGTATCTTGCAGATTTCATGTTCATTCCCTTACCAACATTTGGTAGAACTTCATATTTTGGGCTTGATACTCTTGCTTCTGTCTGTGTTGTTTGTTGATTCCGTCAGCTTTTTGTTGCACCCAGTTTATCTCTTTGAAGTTAGAGGAGCATAAAGATGTTTTAATAGTTAACTGGCTCCATAAGCATTCCTCGTGAGAAAAATGGCAGTGGGCTGTTCTGACTCAATGACCAGTTTTCTTTAGCCTCCAATTAACTGTTTAAGTAACCAACTCTTTTACTTTTGGCTCCTACTGAAATCTGGTGAAATCTAGCAATCTAGTCCTGCTTCTGAAGCAGTGTAATATGGAGAGGGTTTTATGTTTGATCACGTAATTGTTCCTTAAAAAATCATTTATTGGTGAATCAGAAAGGCTGATTTTGACCCTCTATTTTTTATGCCGATCTGATTAATGATTAAGGGAGTCCAGTATTCATTATGAATAACAGTCATATGAGGAACCGACATCCTATGGACATGTTTCTAAGTTTTCGGTTGTTTCTTTTTGTCTCCGACTTACCTTTTGCTAAATTTCAATAGTTCCATCGCATGTTAACTGAAATCCTCTATCACTAGCGCTTTCAAGGCCATGCTTTGCCAGCAACTTGTGCGTGGATATATTTGCATTTTCTTCTGTAAAAATTTGTTAATTGTCATTTTGATTTGATCTAATTATCTCCGTTGGAACTTGTAGGGATATAATCGCCTGAGAGGAAGGAAAGCTGGTTCATCTCTGTATGTTGATGTAGACATTGAGGTTCGTTATTTCTCGTGCTTTTGCATAATGTAATGTGAATGGTAAATTGTTGTCGATTACTGAAAAAAGGAAAAAAAATGTTTAGCACGTTGATGTGGTACCCTTTGATATGTAATCTAATGTTGCTACAGCAAATACTTTCTCCATGTAGGTAGATCCCTTTTCTAGTGTTAGTGCTGCACATGATGTTGAGCATAATGTTCGTCGTCAACTTCAGCAGTCCCATCCTGAGATAGCTGAAGTGTTTATACACGTAGGTGAGAAACTTGGTTCCTTATAGTCTCTTTTATTGGCAATATGCGGAGATATTTTAGGTTTGGTGTCTCTTTTTGAGGAGGAAAAAGCAAATTTTAAACAGAAGACAAATACAGAATCTGCATGATAGGGGGGCATCAGGAAATGTATAAACATCGAAACCATACAGAATATATATCCTCAGTTTGATATTTTTTATTCAGTTCTAGGTTACCAGGTTTCATTTGTAAACGAAAAAAAGAAGGGTTCAGTATTTCCATCAACACTGTAAGCTGAAGCATTTCAAACTACTGTTGGGGACTGCATGCACTGGGTTGGATATATCTGTCGTTTTAGATTTTATATTTTTAACCAAAAGAACAAATTACTTTGACTAGGTTAGCACCCGAAGCATTGACAGGTTGAAGTTTGATGATACTAGTAAAACAAAAACCAACTTACTCATCATATTTTCTTGTAGAGCCTTCGACTTCTGAGATTCCATCAAGTTTAACCAATCATCAAGGAAATAAGAGTAAAGATCACCAGAGCAGTACTGTCGAGTTGGAGCAAACAGATGTTGAAGATACTGTTTCCAATATTTTATCATCTAATTTCTTGGAGGTATGTTTTTTATTTTATTTCAAATTTCAAGCACTAATCTGTTGTTTCTTTTTTTCATCATGAGATCTGCATAGGGGTGTATCTTAATCTGGGGCGATGCATGACCTCATCTCCAGTTGTCAAATTTTACTGTAAATTCTGACAAATGTTATAGCTTCGAGTCTTTGTAATGTCTTTGAAAGCTTTGGACCCAATAATGAAGTTCTGTTTATTTAGAATTAGATTCCTCAACATTGAGATCAATCTTGAAACTGCAGATCTATCACATCTGAGGTTCCTCAAAACTGTCATTTTATGCTTCTCCTTGTGTATTAGTGTTAAGTATCCGAAATGGTTACTTCTGCCTTTTGTAGATAGGTCGATGTAACATAGGCTTTAAACTAATTGTACCTCAATATAAGTCAGCATAATGTTGAAGAACTACAAAGTGAGAGTTCATTTTTGTGCCTGTTGAACTCGAGAAAACCTGTTTCTGTAGACCCTCGAATGTGCTATAACATTATGTGAAATTTTTTGATGGTTTCAGAAAATGGTGGTTGAGCGCATAACACGCCATGTGTTGCAAGGGCAGATTTTCCTTCAAATCGAGGTCTCCATGCCCCAGGACATGTTAATTAGGTAAGACATGTCGACATATCCTATAATGTTCGTTTTCTAGTTTTTAAGTTCAGTAGTTCATTTTAAAGTTGATCTTTCTATGGGTGATAAAAAAATCAGCGAGGCCGTGAAGGTTGCAGAAGAGGCAGAAAAAAAGATTTCAGAATCCGTATCTAACACTGTACACATCTCCATTCAGCTGCGACTCAGGCATCAAATACCAGAGCTCTAGCGGTGAACTGCAAGACCCCAAGCAAGAGGGCAGTTGATAAGCCATTTCATATTTAAGTTGAAATTATGTATTAGGCAGATCATTATGACTTAGAAGAACTATAAATAGTTGTACTTGACTTTTCTTGGAGTTTTATAGCAATAGCCACTTATGTTTTACTTGTTTCCTACATCGATGTGTTTGGTACGATCTTGATCATCACAAAAACATGGTGTGTTATTGTTGAGCAGTGAATGATACAAGCGTTTAAATGTTTATTAAGAATAGTGGTGGCAACCAGCCAACCCGGCTTGCGAGTCCAAGCTTGGGGGCTTGGTATCAGCTCGTCAAAAAAAANTAATTTATAAATACTGAATATAAAGCAAAAGTAAATCAAAATTATTCGCTAGATTGAAACCATGGAAATTTCAAAATACAACCTTGAAGAGGAAACATTGCGAGGGTTTGTTGAACTCCGAGATAACAGACGCCATTTTTTGAATTGCTGTTGTGATCTAAAAATTCTTTTGGATATAGAATTCAAGGTGAACACACACACATTCCGAGTTGTTCGAAACAATGATAACTTGCTAGTTATGTATGATAGAATAGTTAGTATGAATTATTATTTATCATCATTAGTTTTGTATTTTTTTTTTTTCTAATTCAGTTATCTTCTATTATCGTCCAATTTAATGGGTTTTGATAATTTGCCTCAATTGCAAACTCTATTATTCTCTGTGGATATTTTGTTTTGATTCTATCATATAATTTCGTCTGAGATTTCCATTACAGTAATAATCGGAAGATAAACTAGTGACAGAGATGTTCAAATATTGTAAATTAGAGTGATTTGGTGATCGTAAACTTGTTAAAAGGATAAAATCCCACATCGAATAAAATGAAAACATAGACAAATTTATAAGAGTTTGTGCTACTCCTCTTAATAATGTTGACCTTTAAGATGAAGCCCCAAATGTTAACATGGTAATAGAGTCCGTTAAGCTCTAACGAGCAATTCGATCAGATTAAGACTTAAAAAACTTGAGCACGCGGGTTTCAAGATTGGTCTGTTCAAATGAGTCACTATTTTGTGGAGACATGTTAAATGATAAAATCTCACATCGAATAAAGATGAAAACATATATCAATTTATAAGAATTTGTGCTACTCCTCTTAATATGATTGACTTTTTAAAATAGAATCTCAAATCTTAACAAAACTATTATAGAATGATACATTGCATAGAATGGTAAAGGGCTAAGGAGAAGCAACTTACCCAAGATGTCTTATTCAAAATCATTTAAGTATTACACTTTCATTTTTCTTAGAATGAAAAAGTCCATAAAGATTTTGAAAAATGAAAAGCATCCTTTGGATTACACTAGTTTAATTTATCCAATTGGCTGAAATTGGAAACAATGTCCTGCTTGCTACATTTGTAGTTTAATTTACATTTTTTCTCCATTTTTACGTATGGTTCTTGTTTCGTTAGTTACGTGTACATTTGATTTAAGATTTTAGCGCCTTTCGTCATATTTTCCAGAAGAGATTAACAAGTTACACATTGAACATGGTTGGTATGTTTAGAAATAATAGACATGAAAAACGAATGAATATTTGACATGAATTTCTTCTTTAATTTCAGGAGAAATTCCAATTGCCATTCCTCACAAACATTTCAATGGTTCCAAGTACTTGAGTTAGAGCTTCACATTTCCGTGTTAGGGTCACCCTTTCTCACTTTGGCCAAAGATGAAATTTCTAATCTATTCAATCTCTACCTCAATGAAGTTGATGAATTTCACTATGTTATTCTCGGCACCAGGAAATAGTTTAACCGGCCTGCCATGTACTATGAGAATCACCGGCTTGTGAGTTGCGACTTGCGCCAAATTCTAAATATCACCAACTTTTGGATAATTTATGGTTATCGTAGGGCGTTCAGGACAACTTTCAAAACTACTATAGAATGAAAAATTTAGGACTTTTACACCATCCCACTTTAGAAATGGAGATTGGAATACAGGTGGAATTGTACAAGACAATGGCCATTAAGAAGAAAGTATTGTTTTTTGAAGGGACTCAATTGGAAGAATTTAGGGTTTCAGAAAGAGAGGCAACAAGAAGGGATTGAGATTTAGATTTATATTGATTGATCCGAGCTGTGCTATAGAGACAAGAGGCCAGAGGGGCACCCAGTAGATACTGACGTTGTTTACCTGGGAATGACTTAGTCCAATGATTGCGTACGTTGGTGCTTACGTGGACCAATTGATTCTTGAAGTGAAATCTTGCTTCATTTGTTGAACATGGAGGCCACCCGAAAAAAAAAAAAAATTTGCTTGACCAAAAAAACACGATTTCAATTTTTTTTTTCCCTCTTAATATTTTTAGGATATAGTTTTGGTGAATGTTGATAACATTTGTAGAGTTTCAATGTAGTAAGCTCGGAAGTTGATTGAATTGTAAGAATGTACATAAAATGATAGTAATGTCTCTACGAATTAAAATTATTGGAGGCAGCTTTTGAATTTCAAAGATAAGTTTATCTTTTTACGGAGACCAACATGGACATGGACATGCTTTTGCTCATCGACCAGCTTTGAGTTCAACGTGATAATGACTTCGTTAGGTGCAAAAATAACAATTCAACCCCGAACCTTGTTAGAAGGATTCATGTATCACTCCTGCAAATTAAGTAACAAATAATGGTGTTAGATACATAATTAACAAGCTAAAACATATATATATATACAGAAATGATCTAATGAGCACCGGTGCTCATCTTATCCTAAGCACCGATGAGTTGGCACATTAATTCATTGGTGGAT